AGTTTTTGCACAATATTGAGCTCTTTCCTTGATAGTAAGCCTTTTCTTTTTGTTGTTTGGAACCAGAGCTCCTATTTAATTTTTTTGAATAAGTGCCGACGGAGAGCCTCTTTTACATCTTTACGAGCCTTCCAATCCAATAGCATAGTACTAAGCTCATCGGCATGAGCACGTAATTGAAGCGGGTTTGATTTGGCCGATAGGTTATATTTATTGAGAACCTGATCCAAATGGATGTAAAGCTATTAGTTTTGGGTTTTCTAGTTTTTTGAACAGTTGCTATGATAGATATGTAAATAATCTATATCGATAAGTAGAATGTGATTATAGATTAACCTACTTATTTTTTTTAATTTGAAATTAATTATACTTTTTCCTCTTATACCCAGAAAAAAGAGTTTATGTACTTGCATAAGCAAGACCAGGATGTTAAGCTTTATAATTATATTTCGTGTATAGAATCAGGTAAGTCAGATATATGATTCTTAAGTATAAAAATTTTTGCATGTAATTCAGCCTGTTTTTTTTGATGATAATTGACTCTTCTATGATATTTTTCTAAATGTTTCATACACATGCCATATAAAGAGGTAGTTGGTATACCACATTCACCACATGGAGTACGTGGTCAAATTTTCCAATAAAGAGTGCATCCTTTTTGACGATAGCAACCTTTTCCACAAATATGTCCATCAATAAAAGTATATGGACAAGAATAAAATCCCATACTAATATCAATAATTAATAACTTTCAAATTTGCATATATGAAATAATTATTTTTCGAATTAAACTTTTTGTAACAATATTTATATAAACAAATTCAAGATTACTATATATACTTTTTGTCAGATCAAACAACGCATATATACAAATCAATCAAATGAGTTTGTCTAGTGAAGCAAAAAAACATTTATGTGAATCATTATATCAACAGTGTCTAAATCAAAAGTTGGCCAAATATAATGAAGCAAAAAAGCTTTTTATGAGTTTAACGGATCTTGACTATAAACCTGGCCATAGAGAACATACGTATTATAAATATTTGCTTTCATCCGATAATAAAAATGATACCACACTTTTAGAAGCATACCATCCTGAAGAGATTTATTTTCAATATATTATCCGGATAGAAGAAAAAGGCTTTACATTAGTTGAACATCCTTCCAAAGTTTATAAAATACTTGATTCCTATGAGTATATTGACAGAAATCAACCTCTTCGCCCAATACTTGATATTGATGCCAGACAGAAACCCGATCCCACCAATTCTGAACTACCTTCTTTAGATAGTGAAAAAATTTCTCGTGAAGATTTAATGTCTAAAATATTGATTGCTTATATAGATGCATTAAGTCTTATACCAGAATGTATGCCTTTCTTGCAATCTTTTGCATTAGCAAGTTCATCAAATGCTAATAAATGCAGTTGGCACATTGTTTATTCTCATGCCCGATTTATTGACTATAGAGAACTTAAAGGCTTTACGAAAAAAGTTATGGAATTAGTAGGAGAGCCATATTCTAAATTCATCGATGTTGGCCTTCCCAAATCACGTTTTAATCTTCGATTACTTGGATTAGCAAAAGAGAATAGAGTTAAAAGACTAGCCATTTCATCAGTTAAGAATGGATTCAAAAATCTAGAAGACTATTTAGTTCAGCCTAAAGAGAATTATTCTGTGGTCTGGCCACGAACCTTTTCTTCTGAGGAGCCAGTAAAAGAAGAATCCCGACCTATCGATGATGAAAATGCTTTGAATAGAGGAGCCAATCTAGTTATTGCAAAATATGGGTGGCTCCAGATTGGAAGAATCGAGAAGAGATTTATCAACTTTCAAGCACAATCCATTAAAGAATGCCCTATATGTGACGTTAAACATGAAAAAGATCAACTCTATGGATTTATTCGACAAAATGGGCATTTTATACTTAAATGTTATCGCCAAAACCAATATAAGCCAGATCATAAAGGATTAAGCTTTGACAAGGTATCAGATAAAGTAGAATCGAAAGAAAAGTTCAAGAAGTGGAGATTATGTGAAAGATTACCCAAGGCTCTATCAACTCCACATCAATTTCCCGAATTATCTGGGGAAAGTATTAATGTAAAAGAAATGGAGGATGCTCTAGATGCTTTTCCAGACTTTTTAAGTGAAGAGCCTAGTACTACTCTTATTCGTTCTACTGTAGGTACTGGGAAAACTAAAACATTAGGAAAAATTTTGGCATCTTTAGCTCAAAGTGATGCTAATTTACCTTGTACTATCTGGGTTTCATATTGCAAAACCCTTAGTAATGAATCCGAAGCTAAACTTAAAGAATTGGAAAAATTCGATTTTAAAGTAGAGCAATATCAGAATATTGTGGCTGACCTAAAGACATGTGAGTGGGATCTTATTATTGTACAAGTTGAAAGTATTCTTCGTCTTGATTTTCAAGGGGGTCATTCCTGTATAGCAATTTTAGATGAAGCAAATGCCACTATGCGTCAAATGGCTAGTGGAGTTCATGCTCGAGAATCTTTCAATGCTATGCATGATTTGTTAAATGTG